ATAGAATAGAATAGAATAGAATAGAATAGAATAGAATAGAATAGAATAGAATAGAATAGAATAGAATAGAATAGAATAGAATAGAAAGAATAGAATAGAATAGAATAGAATAGAATAGAATAGAATAGAATAGAATAGAATAGAATAGAATAGAATAGAATAGAATAGAATAGAATAGAATAGGATAGAATAGAATAGAATAGAATAGAATAGAATAGAATAGAATAGAATAGAATAGAATAGAATAGAATAGAATAGATAGAATAGAATATAATTATTAGATATGAAATAGGAATATAATAGAATATAATAGATATAATAAATATAAATAGAACTATAATAGAATTTAATAATTGAATAGAATTAATAGAATATATTTAGAATATAATAGAATATAATAGAATATATGAAATATAAAGATATATAGAATAATTAGAATATAATAGAATTATAATAGAATATAATAGAATATAATAGAATATAATAGAATATAATAGAATATAAGTAGAATATAATAGATTATTATAGAATATATAGTAATATAATAGAATATATTAGAATATAATAGAATTAATAGAATATTAAAGAATATAATTAGAATATATAAGAATATAATAGAATATAAGAGAATATAAATAGAATATAATAATATAATAGAATATAATAGAATTATAAAGATATAATAGAATATATAGAATTAATAATTAGAAATAATAGGAATATAATTAGAATAGAATAGAATGAATAGAATAGAATAGAATAGAATAGAATAGAATAGAATAGAATAGAATAGAATAGAATAGAATAGAATAGAATAGAATAGAAAGAATAGAATAGAATAGAATAGAATAGAATAGAATAGAATAGAATAGAATAGAATAGAATAGAATAGAATAGAATAGAATAGAATAGAATAGAATAGGATAGAATAGAATAGAATAGAATAGAATAGAATAGAATAGAATAGAATAGAATAGAATAGAATAGAATAGAATAGATAGAATAGATAGAATTAGAATAGAATAGAATAGAATAGAATAGAATAGAATAGAATAGAATAGAATAGAATAGAATAGAATAGAATAGAATAGAATAGAATAGAATAGAAGAGAATAGAATAGAATAGAATAGAATAGAATAGAATAGAATAGAATAGAATAGAATAGAATAGAATAGAATAGAATAGAATAGAATAGAATAGGATAGAATAGAATAGAATAGAATAGAATAGAATAGAATAGAATAGAATAGAATAGAATAGAATAGAATAGAATAGAATAGAATTGAATAGAATAGAATAGAATAGAATAGAATAGAATAGAATAGAATAGAATAGAATAGAATAGAATAGAATAGAATAGAATAGAATAGAATAGAAAGATATGATTTTGGTTTAATCACTTTTTCTTTACAGTAAACATTCGCAGGTACCAACTGCTATCAATTGAATATGAAACCAAATTATTGGAGTTCGTAGTGGTGCACCCTTACTCCTTGCGTCTGCTTGTGGCGCATTTGACCTACTTTGGAAAAAGCTATGATATTGATATAGACGCCTATATGGTAAGATATAGACTCTTATATTGCAACGAAGCTGAAGTATTCTTGGAATGATCATCCATTTTTCTAACTAACCTAGATACGCGAAGGTTTATGCACTTGTTGGTGATGGTTTCAATAGAAATATTTTAATGAATATCAGAGTTTCTGATATGCTATGAATTTTGAATATTTTTCTAAAGGTGTTGTTCTGAAATTTGTCGAATTTTGCTGTCCTACGGTTGGATAATTTGATCATCAAATAGAATAGACTATATCAAATAAAATATATCAGCATTTATAGAATAAAGGATGCACGCGTTTCAACGTAGAAGGATAATAAATTATGTTCCACTGAAGAGTCACTAATGAAGACTTCCAGTATTGTTTTGAGCAATTATAGTTTCAAACTTTTTTATATTATATATCATTTTCGAACTCAATGATTTGCATATAGAGGAGATATAACTTATAACACAGAAACAATTAAATATTTTTATGGAATAAAATTTTCTTTGATATGTCATGTCGCAGTATATATCAAAAATAAGTTTCTCCCATCCATATTCCTTTTGTTTCTTGGATTAAAGAGTCGCCTTTCGATTTTATATAACTATGACATGAAAGTGACTGTTAGTTTAAGTAAAACTAGCCATTTATATTTATACCTTTTATATTTAAGTTATATCAATATTTAATTTATATCATTTAAAATCACCAAAAATAAATTTTCAGCTCTAGATGTCTTATAACAACGCTTGTCACTTTTACAAACCCTAAGTTGTATGACTAAAATGCAATAGATACTTGCATTAAAGTTTATATCTTTTTAGTTCCCATGAAAGAGAACAATAATATGTTTGACAGTATAGATACATTACAATAATATTACACATAACAACAATTGGATATAAGAAATTAAATTAGTTTAGAAAAAAATGTTTAAAACTAAAAGTGAGTATCCTGAACCAATTGTTCACTTAACCAAAACGTTCAAATGTCATGGAATAGAAGTCAAGAAACAAAATATCTAAGAATCGCAGTTCTAAATGGCTGGATATTTTCATCCTTTTGAGCACATCTTCGTGTTTGAATTATTTATTTAATTTTATTTATTTTTTTTAGTTTTTTACATGTGTAGATATATTATGTTATATAGAAATACATACTCCTCTATATCGGATTTAATGCTTTTGTTTTGTCTACGCGGCGAAGCATGTTTAACTGCGATTTCGTGAGTCGTGATTTTAGCCATAATTTAAAGTTTTTGTCTACTAAGTCGTTGAGTTCGTTTGCCGCCAACTTATGCCTTTTTGACTATTTAGTTTTTCTATATTTGACATTTTAAGAGATTTAAACTACAATTGAAATGCCAGACAACTTGCAATCCTCTGTGCACTTCTCATTTTAGTATGTGTTGGCCAATTTAAGTCTGTCGCGGACGATACATAAATGTTACACCAAAATCCAAACAAAAAAAAGACAAGAAATGGAAAAGAAGGAAAGTCGTCGAACCTGAGGGAAATGAGAAAAATGTAATATCTTTTTTAAGAAATTTGAAACATTTATCTTTTTAATTTTTTGAAACGCATGCATTTACTACATTTTGGTTAAAGCCTCCAATAAAACGAACTAATCAAAGGATTTCCATTATGAAAATTCATGGGATCAAACAATCCGCCACTTCAATGAATCATATATCCTAAGTATACTTATATAATGAGACGACGCTTAGACATTTATTCTTATAGAGAACTGCAATTTTAGGTACGTAGATAATGTTATATTGAGTCAAGTAGTTTGCCATGTTAGTCTATCACATATCTGGAGTATTTTTATAAAATGAGGAGAATAGATGTATAACATAAAGTAACAGCTAACCAGTAATTTAAGGGATCCCGAGCGGAGATTAAAGGGTTAAAATGATTTGCTAATATAACTCTCATCAGCGTTCCTAGTCATAGTTACATTAAAGAGAATGAAAAAGCAGACAATTAAGTAAGAAGTGTTGCTTTTGTGTATGCCTACATAGATGTATAGTTAACTTTAGCTTGTAGACTTTTTTTAGTTAGGTAGTATTAAGTAGAAGTC